TCACTAACACTTTTGCTCCAGTAGCCAGGTATGATACTATTAGATTGCTTTGGCTCTATCTGCTAAACTTGGCTGGAAAATATACCATCTTGATGTCAAATCTGCTTTTTTGAATGGTATACTTGATGAAGATATATATGTAGAGCAACCTGAAAGTTTCAAAGTGCCTGGGAAAGAAGAGCAGGTTTATAAGCTGCATAAGGCTCTTTAGGGCCTAAAACAAGCACCAAAAACCTGGTATAGCAAGATACATACTTACTTGCTAAACCAAGATTTTTGCTGCAGTCCAAATGAGTCCACTTTTTATGTTAAAAAGGTAAATGGTGATCCATCTCTTATTGTCTCCTTGTATGTTGATGACATTTTTGTGATAGGAGGAGATATGAAATCAGTAGCTAATTTCAAGGAGAATATGGAAAAAGAATTTGAGCTATCAGACTTGGGTGAAATGAAGTACTTTCTGGGTATGGAAATAAATCAAGATCACTCAAGCATATTCATCTCTCAGAAAAAATATGCTTAAGACATGTTGAAAAGATTTCAAATGGAAGGTTGTAAGGTTGTTGCAACACCTTTAGTAGTGAATGAAAAACTGAAGAAGATTGATGACTCATAAGAGAAAGCAAATGTTACATTATACAGAAGTCTCATTGGCAGCCTACTTTATTTATCCTCTACCAGGCCAGATATAATGTTTGCTACATATCACTGTCCAGGTTTATGCATTCACTAGGAAAATCCCACTGGTGTGCAGCCAAAAGAGTGTTACAGTACATAAGAGGAACTATTGATTTTGGTTTCTGGTACTCTAAAAAGGGTAGCAGTCAACTTATAGGCTACTTAGACAGTGACTGGGCAGGGAGCTTAGATGGCTTTAAAAGCACTTCGGGTTACTGTTTTTCATTTGGAAGTGCTATGTTCTGTTGGAACTCAAAAAAAATAATAATAATAATAACTCAATCATCAGCAGAAGCTGAGTATGTAGCTGCTGCAAATGCTGCTAATCAGGCCATTTGGATGCAAAAAATTCTTTCATATTTGGGACAAGATGAACAAGGAAGTGTTAAACTCTTTGTGGATAACAAGGCAACCATAGCAATCACCAAAAATCCAGTTCATCATGGTAGAACTAAGCACATTAGTGTCAAGTTTCATGCTATTCGTGAGGCTGAAAACATAGGTGAAATCAACCTGATGTACTGTAGTTCAGAAGATCAGGTGGCAGACATTTTGACCAAAGCTATTCCTAAGCCTAAGTTTAAAAGTTCGGAGAATGAAACTTGGGGTATTAATAACAAACACCTCAAGGAGTGTTAGAAGATTGAGGTTGTTTGTATCTCTTATTGTCTTTCAAGTCAGTAGAGTAGTTGTATTAGTTGAAGTTTTTTGGTTAAGATGTATGGTGATCCTTATTTCAAAGAACTTTTGCTTCTTTATGTATGTTGTGCTTTAATTAAGGAATGGATGTGTTAGTTTTTTTGTATATTTGTAAATCATGTACATTGTATGAATATCAAAAGAATGAAAAATATTTTTCATCTTCAGCTCTCGTCTGTTTTTCTCTTTGTTTTTTCCTTCCTCTGATCCTCACGATGTGTTTCCTTATTGCATAATTTTGTCTTGCTTCATCAGTCTAATTTATTCTCAGCCTTGACAACAAGTATAGTAACCATATTTTTAATTCCTCTGTTCAGTTCTTTTGTTCACATTCCAATGCATTTTCTCTTGAGAGGCAATTAGGTCTATCTTACTCAAAGCTCTCAAAATCAACCAATAACTTCTCTAAAGAAAATTTGATTGGTTAGGGTAGCTTTGGTTCAGTATACAAAGGTATTTTATTGGGTGATGGAACAATTATCGCAATTAAACTTCAACAAGAAGGACCTATAAAGAGTTTCATTGATGAATGCGATACATTAAGAAATATACAACATGGTAACATCCTCAAGGTCATTACCGCTTGCTCAAGTGTTGATGATGAAGGAAATGACTTCAAAGCTTTAGTTTTTGAGTTCATGCCCAGTGGAAGTTTGGACAGGTGGTTTCATCCAAGTGATAACAAGTAAAATAGAACTAAGAAATTGAGTTTTATGCAAAGGCTGAATATAGCTGTTGATGTCACACCAATAGTTCATTGCGATCTAAAACCAAGCAATGTACTTCTTGACAAAGATATGACAGCTCATAATGGTGACTTTGGATTGGCAAAGTTACTTGTTGAAGCATCAAATAATCCTTCACCAATGTCAGTCGGGCTAAAGGGATCTATAGGATACATTTCTCCAGGTTTTTTTCTCTCAACCCAAAGAATCACACTTTAGTTCATGATGATTATAAATTTTACAGCATGTCGCTATTTTTAAACTCTTAAAGACTAGTAATCCTTTAAACAACTGCTAATATTTTAAAACCATCTGCTGCCTTACATTAAGCATGCCAAATTCTCTTTGTTTGGAATAGAATATGCGAATTAGTATCCTAATTAGTGGCAGATTTTGCAAAAGGCAGAATACATGGAAGGCCAAGTCTCCATACTTGGAGATATTTTCAGCTTTGGTATACTATTGCTGGAGATGTTTACAGGAAAAAGGCCCACTGCTGACATGTTTAAAGATGATCTGAACATTCACAAGTTTGCCGCAATGGCTTTGCCAAACCATGTCATGGATGTCATTGACCCATCAATGTTTTTCGAAGGCAGCGCAAATGGAATACTTGATTTCAATACCGAGAATCGGGTCATATGTTCCTCAACATTGCCAAGAGAGCGGATGTTTATGGGTGATGTCGCCAAGAATCTGCATGCAATTAGAGACTCATTTGTCAAGTTTAAGAACAAGAACAGAGCAAGAACAAGATAAGCATACAAGGTGTCAGACTACCTGGAAAAAAAAAATGGCCTCCGGAATTACCTGGAAAATAATTACTTTTCAGGTGTTGTCATTGCTTTAATTTTAGTATGTGATATAGTTGTTGTCCAAGTTTATTAAAACCTGAATGTATTTGCACAATTTACAAGGTTTATTTGTTGTTTTGCATAATTTAAAAGGCTTGTGCTAGATTCAGTACTATATAAAATATTTGCCTTTGAAATTTTTATTCCTGAAGGACTCCAATTCCTTGCAACAGAAGACGGGTGCAATTAGTTATACAATTAACTTTAATTTGATTTAGATAATCCCATAGCGAAGAAGAGAGCTTCTGAGATTCTGTAAATTTTTGACAGAATCAATGATGTCCATTCGCTCTTTGGGGAAATCCACTGAGCAACCAACTCCAATTTTGAGTATTGCAATCAAACTCTCCTGTATTTTTTCCTTTTGTATGTCTGGATCACCTCTTTCTTCTTCTTCTTCCCCTCCAGCAACAAAAACTGGATCTAGAATTTCGGATATTCGTTCAGGCAAGCCTGTCTTAACGAAGTTGTGAAGATCTAATCCGTCTTTGAACATGTCATCAGTTGGCCTTTTCCCTGTAAACATCACCAACAAGAGGATGCCATAGCTGTACACGTCACCATATGTTGAAACTTGACTTCCCATTCCGTACTCTACAAATTCAATTTGTATAATAGTAAGAACAAGTGTACATACAAATTAAATTTCTTCCTGGATTTGACAGAAATTATTTCCAGGAAATAAAAACCACAGAAATTATTGAACACAGCAAGTTACCTGGTGCAGCATAGCCAACGGTTCCTTTCAATCCAATGGAGCTGCTTTGATTTGGATGAGACCTACTCGTGGCTTCAGGAATGAACCTTGTTAACCCAAAATCACCCACATGTGCAGTCATATCAATGTCAAGAAGAACATTGCTCGGCTTTAAATCACAATGGACAATGGGCTTGTGGCACTGGTGATGAAGATATTCCAGAGCTGAACCCACATCAATCGCAATGTTTAATCTTTGCAGAAGGCTTAAAATCCTCGGGCTATCATTCATATGATCAGCATCTGCATCTGGTAGTAACCAACTTTCTAAACTCCCATTAGGCATGAACTCATACACCAAAGCTTTGAAATCGTTACCTTGAAAGTCAATACTTGAGCACGCTGTTAGAATTTTGACAAGATTGCGGTGCCTTATGTTTCTTAAAGCTTCACATTCGGCCATGAAACTCTTTAAAGCTCCATGTTGAAGTAGGTTAAGTACTTTCACAGCAACAATTCTGTAGTTTAGACCGAGAATTCCTTTATAGACAGAGCCAAAGCTTCCGGAACCAATTAAGTTGGCAGAAGAAAATCCATCTGTCACCTTGAGGAGACTTTCATAAGAGACATTTAGAAGCAAATCCTTTTTAGTCGATGAGGACTCAGCTGAAGGCTCCTTTCTCCACTTCCTCAACCGGTGGATAATTACAAGTGACATGATCAAAACTAGCGCCACAAGTCCGGTAAGTACCGGAATTATTAACTTCAGTCTGCTGGACATTTTCTCTTTCTTTGAATGACTTGGAGAACACCGAGGTAATTTTAATTCTGGTAAACCTCCACAGAGCTTATCGTTACCAGCTACCGATATGGCAGTTGCATTTTTGAAAATTCCACCTGTTGGTACCTCGCCATCAAAATGATTGAATGAAAGGTTCAAATTTGTGAGCGAAAGGCGTTGGAAGTACTCTGGAATTTCTCGCGACAAGTTGTTGTGTGAAAGATCCAAGTCTCTGAGTCCTCTCAAGGTGCTAAAAGAAGTAGGAATAGTTCCTATAAAGAAATTACCTTCCATTTGGAGGTATTCCAAGGCTACACAACTGCCGAGGCCCCTTGGAATTTTGTCTAACAACTTATTGTTAGAAAGATCCAAGCGTCCAAGATTTTTCAAGTTACCAATTTCTGAAGGCAGGGCTCCAGTGAGTTTATTTTTGGCTAGATTTAGGGAAATGGTCAGGGAAGAAAGTCCCATAACTTCTTTGGGTATGGATCCTTGGAGATTATTTTGAGAAAGGTCAAGGTCTTGCAAGTAATGGAGGTTTCCAAAAGTGGAAGGAATAGTACCCATTAAGTGGTTCTTTTCAAGGTGTAGAGCATAAACTGAGTTATGTTGCCTATTGATGATGGAATGTGGACTGAAAAAGCATTTTCAGACAAATCCAATCGCCGCAGCATCGGAAGATTTCCAATAACATGAATGCTCCCTGATAAATTGTTTTTGCTCATTGTTAACTCTGTCAAGTTAACAAGGTTCTCAATCTCAATAGGGATGCTTCCAGATAATTGATTCCCACCCAATCTAAGTTGCACAAGTTGGGTTGAGAGGTTGCCTATAGAGTGAGGCAACTTGCCACCGAACCCGTTTTCACTTAGATCCAGTAACCGCAAATCTCTACATTTAGTCAAAGAATCCAAGAAGCTCAAGTCATCAGCTTCTCCATTCCCAAGTTGATTGGCTGCAAGAACCAGTGACCACAGACTAGGTAAGCCCCCAAAATCAATTTTAACTTTCCCTGTGAAATTACTACTGTTGATATCAAGTTCAAGGAGATTTGAAGCATTGGATAATGATTGTGGAAGCGGTCCAGTGAATCGGTTGTGACCAATATTAAAGACTTGCAAATTAGGAAGAGTGAAGCCCAAGTTTGATGGTAAGTTCCCGTGCAGTTGATTAAATGGTAGAGTAAAGACCGAAATGAATGACAGATTGAAAAGCGAGTGAGGGATTGTACCAGATAATTGGTTAAGGCCAAAACCAAGAAAATTTAAAGTCTTTAACCGGCCTAGGGATTCAGGTATGGTTCCCTCAAAGCCGTTAACTGACATGGAAAATGATCTAATTGAAGAAAGGTTGCCTAAAGAATCTGGGAGTTGTCCTCTGAGATGGTTATAGTGGAGCTGAAATCTCTCAAGCTTCTGCAATGAGCCAAGTTGACTCGGGATTTTTCCAATCAAGTTATTGAAGCCTAAACGAATCATGATAAGGCTCGAACAACCTGAGAGATTGACTGGGATCTCTCCGGAAAAAGAGTTATTGGAGAAGTTAAGGTACATGAGCCTGTATAGACGGCCTACTTCTGGTGGAATTTCACCATGGAAGTAGTTCTGTTGAAGGTTAATACCTCTGAGAAAGCTAAGATTTCCCATGTGAGGAGAGAGTGAACCCACCAAGTTATAGTTGCTCAGGTTCAGTGTGATCACTCTTTGATGGAGATGACCACAAGTGACACCTTTCCAGTTGCAGAAATGAACAGAATCATTCCATGAGCTAAAGAAACCAAGTGGGTCGTGGGTTATTTGAGATTTGATAGCAAGCAAGGCAAGTCTATCAGTGTCATTTCCAGGCAAAGTGGTAATTAATGATGCAAGAGTAGAGTTTGGTGTATGCAGCAAAATAATGAAGAACGGAACAAGAAATGGAATGAACAATACTGAGAATTGGAGTGAAGTCTTGAATTGAAGGGAAGACAACATGGCAGCTGACTTGTAGAAGGTGGCTGATGAGTAACACTCTTGGAGGGATAGGTGCTATGTATAAGAATTTTTTTCCTGACTGTAGAAGTTGGTTCAAGTATACAACTTGATACATACCATTAAATTATTATGGAAGACTTCGAATTGGTAGACTTATGCTAATCTGTAATCTGTATCGTGTAATCTAAGAATAAGTGTTAAAACTATTCAAAGGTCATTAAATTCTATTAATCTGTGACTAATCAATCAAAGAAATATGTAAAGTTTGTAATATACTTTGTTCTGTGCATGGTTTTTACATATATCCAGCTGAAATGCCTGGCTGTCAAGGAAAGCAATAGAAAGTGGAGCGAAATTTCTCTGCTAGATGTGAAAGCAATGACTATATTGGAAATATGACCATGAAGTCAAGTCAAAGGCTACTGCTGCTTCCAAGGATTGGAAGATTTCTGCCCATACTCAGTAAAAAATTGGTCCATATCAGTATAGATCGTGCTTAGATTACCTAATTTGATCCTGGTCTCCCTAGCAATCATACACAATCAATTTAAGAGAACAAAAATAGACTGGTATCTGCCCAGTCAAACAGTTTATTCATTGATTCTCTCGCAAGTTGCAAACTGGTTTGGGTGAGTATACAAGAAAATGAAATATTCAGTCAGCTGATCAATGATATCATATACCCCGTACTCAGCAAATGCTTGACTTAAGACTCCAATAAAAAACTGTTAAATATCGGAATTATGGAGCAAAGAGCTTAGAAA